CTTGTGGTATTGGATCGGAATCAGAGGTCTTAGTATGAACTTGTGGTTTTATACCATGTATGTTGATAGGTACATAAATAACTTGAGGTGTGCGTGTGTATGGTTGAGTTACTATATATATATATGTATGTATGTATATATATATATATATATATATATATATATATATGTGTGTGTGTGTTATATATATATGCATTTCTAAGTTTTATCCACTGAGAGGGGCCTAGACGCAATGCATTTTAGTAGCAATGAGTGCATCTTCCATCCAGATCTTGCATTCTAAATACCGTCATCTATTTAAAGTAATCAATGCTCTTTGGTGAAATGGTTGATTCCAGGGCTGGAGCAAGAAAATGGCAGATGAGACTGGAGCATCTTGTGTTGGCACAAAGTAGTCAAATTCATAAAAGCCAACCTGAAAGAGCTCCTTTTGACCAAAGCTGGAAAATTTTGAGAAACAAAATGAACAAATATAGCATTAGACTATAGCCTACAGAATAAAATAAATACCAAGCATTCCATACTGATATAAATAAATATTGGCACACATGAATAAATGAAGGAGAAGTAAGAGCTCTTCCTTACAGAATATTTTAAATTAACAAATGTAGAAAGAATAAGGGAAATGGAAAATCACCACTAGAAAATCGTGGTAAAAATTGTTGATGACAAGAGCTAAAGACGGATGCTAACAGTAGTGGGCAAAAATCAGAGGAGAACATGAGATTTTTCAGTCTCAGCTTAACTCCCCTGGGGTGTTTATTAATGCAAAAGGAGAAAACAGCAGCATTACAGTGGAGGAGCACCGCAGACACCACGCTAGCCAGGTGATGGAGGGTAAACGAGGTATCAGCTTCATGTACCCTTTGATGTGTATGGTAGACTTACAGGAGCACATCGTTTCTGTGGCACTCTTGTCAAAAATGCATACCCTTAATCTAATTATGAGAAAAGACTAGACAAAAGCAAACTATAGGGCATTCTACAAGATAATTAACCAGCACTGTTCAAAAGCATCACAATCATGAAAGATAGGAAAGGCTATAAAACTGTCACAGACTTGGAAAAGACAAAGAAGACATAAAAATAAATGCAGTGTGGTACCCTGGATTGGGTCCTGGCAAGGAAGAAGTACAATAGGAATAAACTGGTGAGATCCAAATAAGATTCACAGCTTAGTTAGGAGTATCGCATCCAAGTTAATTTCTTACTTTTGAGAATCATACTAATGGTATGCAGGATATTGGGAAGCTGGGTGAAGTATATACGAAAACTCTGAACTAATTTTGCAGTTCTTCTCGAAGCCTAAAATTTTTTCAAAATGAAAGTTTTAAAGTTACATATTAAATTTCTCTTCCAGTGTTAGCATCAAACTATTTCTCCATATAGTACTAGTTCTCAGACTCCTTTCTTGATTCCTTAGGACAGTATGATATTTTTCTATCCTTGGCATAGTACAGTATTTTAAAAGTGTTTTTCATAGGTAGTATGATGGTGATGATAATTCTGTATGAAAGAATTAATCAGCTCCTTTCTCCTTTAAGCGTAAAATGGCATTGAGGTGAACATCTTCTAAAGTAAAGGTAAGAAAATAATTTGCCTACTTCCCTCTGATTCTCTCATCTTTATGATAGAATGCATTCTATGTAAAAGACCATGCTGATTGTGGGGGAAATCTGAATTTTCCTGTATTCTGTAGCATCAAGTATGGCACAAGCTAGAATAAAATTTAGAGGTCAGGCCTGAGGTCACTGAACTAGTGAGTTGCAGTGCTTTGGTTTACTGAACGCCCCTAGTCCAGGGCTTTTTTGAGCAACCTTTGTTGCATCTTACATAGGAAATTTTATACAGCATCTTAAAGGTTTTTCGATTACTGGGTTGTTGGTTGGATTGTTTTAATAAAAGTAATAAAATTCGTAGTTAATTTTAAATTTAGTAGTTGAAGAACAAGGGAAATGTTTCTTCAATGCAGTTTCCTTGCTTGGTGTCTCAGATGGTTTTGCCATCACCAGTTTCACTGAGAACATCACCCTGTTGGAAGCTGCAACCTGAACAGATGAAGCACCTTTCAACCTGAGTAATTACCTCCCAGGGTTCTAAACCCTCTGTGTCCAACACAGAACCAAGCCTTGTCATTAAGATATAAATTACCTTTCCCTTTTTGATCTGATTTAGAGGAGAACTGCAGGCTGGACAGCTGACTGGGAGGCAGGGGGCAGGAGAAATCGGAGCAGAGAAGAATGTTGGCCTGGAAAGAAGCTGCTTCTCCCCTGAAGGCGAGCTCTGCTCTGAGGCTTGGGATAGGAAAACGTTGGGGATTAAAGCAATAGGAGGAGACGGGACTAGGAAATCAAGAAACAATTAAAGCAACAGCTGCTTCCCATCCCTTCCTCTCTGGCTTTTTCTTGTCCACTCTCAATGAGTTTTGTAGCCCAGGTTGGCGACAGAGCAGAACAAACTAAAACAGTCACTACGGATTTTTTTTTTTCCTTCCAAAACACTCTCAGTCCAAATAACTTCAGGACACACACATCTTAAACATTAAATTAACGGCCTTTTATCCTTTGCTGCCACCAAGATCCCCCAATTGTATAGAAATGAGGATTGGAAAATACTGCTTTGTGGACCTCTCAGGCAACCTGAACTTCTGAAAAACAATAGCTACAACAGATGTTTCTTTCATATGATCCGTGTTTGATCTCCTAAATAATGTTTCACTACCAGGGGCTTGGCAAAGGGTCAGGAAGTGTGTATAATTCAAGGGGAAAATATGGAAACAAAGAAAAATCCCATGATACCCTGAAACTGCTACAAATTCCACTGAACAAAATATGGTTTATGTTACAGCAAATAATCTTTATTTTAAATGTCTAATTTTCAAAGATACTTAAGTTTTCAGACAAAGGCAGGCAGCCGTTTGCAATAAAACCACACCATTTCATTTTGCAGACAATGGTGAAGAAGCCTTAAGACAATAAGACACACAGAGATGTCAAGTCAGATTCTCCCTAATGCTGTCCACTGACTTTCAAATCACCTTTTGAAAATGTAGTCTATGACTTCTCCAACTTGACCTTCAGAAGTTGATTCAAATGTCCCATTTAACTTTGTGCTTATTTATTCCAGGGAATTCTTTTAATATAAGAAACAGCTAGTTAATTGCTCATAATGATGCTCCACAGACTTGAAGAATACCACTCAGTTACTTCCCCCCCCAAAAAAAAAATCTCCCTTCACACACACACACACACACACACACACAATTATTTCTCCCAATTTTTTTAACCTTTATTTGAAGATCCTTTTTCTCACTCTTGAAAATACTCTAAGAAAATATTCTTTTTTATTTGAATAGTTTCAAATAGTTTCAACATAGTCAAAGAAGTTTAGCCTAAAAACTTGAATGGCATTTGTCTTCTGTTTTAAGTCCCATTAGCTAAAATAATTCTCTTCATCATAAGTCAGTTCAATTGCACCTTCATTTGGTGTCACTCAGAAAGCTACAGTGATTAAAACACAGACTTTCAGGGATCAGACTTCTGGAGAAAAAAATGAGTGTGCCAGTGGTTTGTACTGACATACAGTGATGCCACACTTACCTAAGGAAGGGAGTACACATGGAATCAATGTGGTCTGTCATGCAAAGCATTTTTACATATAAAATATGAAATTCATGGTCACAATTTGGAAGAATGCCAAGCCCATGAAATAATATCTTACCCATCTTTGTATGAACCATTCACAATCATAGAACATATGCAGTATAAACTGAAAAGCAAAACAATTTTAAGACCAACAAGAGAGATACAAAGTTATTTCAATTTAGAGTGCAGCAAATCTGCCCCATACTCAAAAGCCACAGTGTTAAACGTAAAATGTGTACTATTATTCCTTTCAGGAGCCATAGAAATGATTTTTCCCTGTTTCTTTCATAGGACTAATCTCTTACTTCATTATTATATATTTGCTCTTTTAATTCTCACTCCTCTAAAGAACCTGTGCATCCCTCAGGTGTCACTCCAAAGCACAGTCTATTGCACTTCTAAACCATGGAACATAGTAATTCGTTAGCCATATGGCTTTTAGTATCTGAAATGAGATCCCAGGAGTGAAATTCCTTATATTCAAGACCAGGTTCCTTTTCAAAATTGAGGTATAATAAGATTTGAACTTCAACTGATGAAAGTAAATGCAATTGTGAGAAAATGAATTTTATTTCAAGTAGTGAGAAATTCCCTAAAAAATAAAATCCCATAGGAATCTCTAAACTCAAAATAAGAATTACTGGTTTTCAAAGAATTCACCCGTCTATCTACACCTAAGTGAAAAACGGTACTATGTTAAAAGATGCAAATGCTTGTTAGTTAGATTTGTCATCATATGTCACTGTTTTGTATGCACCATCTGTTTTTTTTTTTTTCTTTTCTCTTTTGAATTGAGTTGAAGAAAGTATATTTTGAATGCGGCTAAATTTGACAGAATGCCTCTACTTAAGTTATCTTTGTTTTTAGGGTGATTTTCTATTTAATAATGAATAGATAGCCTTACTCATATTTAAATAACTAATTTTAAAGAAGGGAAAAAAGAATTTATTCACCTTTAATGTTTGATCTTAAAAAAAACTTTTACATGGTAGATAAAGACTATTACATTTAATAAGATTTCCCTTAGGTGTCAATTATTTTAAATCCAGATTTCACTTATTTCTATAAGAATGTGGTGGTTATTTAGACCATGAATACCTTTAAAGAGATCAAAGGCCTGTAGAAGACTAATGTATGAAGTAGAAATAAACTTGTCTTTTTCAAAGATTCTGAGAAGATTCCTTTCAAATCAAAGGCAGCAGAGCCCACTACTGGCCTAGTTGTTGAAACTTTTCTCTAGTCAAATAGTTGGATGTTGCTTGGAGCTAAACTTTTACTGGGTAAAAGCAAAGTATAGGAAAATAAGTAGCACAAAATTTTAACTAGCTTTTAAAACCTAGTGATTTATTGCAGTACTGTGTGGTGGTCTGTTTAAAGATCAGCATTAGGGTGCTGCCATCACATATGGCATCTTGAAGGTACACTTCTGAAAATCTGTCATTCTTCACAGGACCAACTGTGACATGAGTCAGTCAAGTTGCTGGAATAAAGCCTGGAAAGAAACTCTCAATGAAGTTTTAGGAGCTTTGTGACTCTCTTCTGATTTCATGGACTATGCTTTATAAATGGAGTGATCAACATGAATTTAATCAACAAATATTTAATTGTTGTTATTACTCCACAAAGAAAAATGTCAGAGGAGTTTGTCTTAACTTGGGCTTTTAATGGAGGGTGTCTTAGTTTCCTGGGGTGGCTGTAAAAATTACCACAAACTAGGTAGCTTAAAGCCACATGTATTTACTCTCTCAGAGTTCTGGAACCAAAATCAAGGACCGTGCTCCCTCCAGAGGCTCCAGGGAAGAATCCATTCTCTGCTTCCTCCAGCTTCTGGTGGCAGTTGGCATTCCTCAGCTTGCGGGTGCATCACTCCAGTCTGTGCCTCTGTAGTCACACTGCCGTCTCCTTCATGTTTAAATCCCACTCTGCCTCTGACTTAGGAGGATTCATGTAATTGCATACAGGACCAGCCCACATAATCCATGATAATCTCCCATCTCAAGGTCCCTAGCTTAATCACACCTGCAAAGTCCCTTTTTCCTAATAAGGTAACATTCACAGGTCCCAGGGATTGGGATCTAGTATCTTTGGGGTGCCATTTTCAGCCTACCATGGAGAAATACAATATATTTCCTAAAAATTTATAGTTTAAAGCTGATCATCATCTGCTCTGTGGATCTGAAAATTACCAAGCCAGTGCTTAATTTAGAATTATCACAAGGTGGCACATTTAGCTACTTGATATAATAAGTGCAAATCTTCTTTAACAGGAAATACACCCTTATGCAGGAGAGAAAAATAGCCAAACGGAAGTAAGTTCTGAAGAAAGAAAAAAAAATGCACAAGAAAACAGCATGATAAATGAAAATATATAGAAGTAAAATATGTTTTCTATATCTCTATATATAGAAAAAGAGAGAATGTATGTAGTAAAATGTTCCCACATTCATAATTTAAAATATTGATGGTGGGATCTGAGGACCCCAAAACACAACAAGCTAGTTAAAATGAGTGGCTCAACCCAATTTTATTAACTTTATGATAACACGAACCCATGTTTTCATGATAGGGTTTTTTTTTTTAGCATTACTCGTAGTTTTATGATGGGGCGTCATTCAATTAAAATTTGTAGACCCAGAATAAAATAAATGTGTCTAGTATGGCTAAAGAAATGAAAATGGGAATCAAAGTCATGAGGAGGGAAAAAAATGAAAATAAAAAATGACAGAGAATTTGTAAAAATTTTACAAAATTTTAGAAATAAAAATATAATACTTTAAATATAAAAGTAAATGGATAGGTTAGAGAGCATATTAATAAAGAATAATAATAACTAACTCAATGAGATTTACCATGTGCAAGATACTCCTCTGAGCATTTACATTAATTAACTAATTTAATTCATATAAAAATTCATGAAATATGTATTATTTATTTCATTTTGCAGATAAAAATAAGGACAACAGATTAAGACATTTGCTTAAATTGTGTAACTACTGAATAACAGAACTAAGATTAAAACCTCAGCAGTCTGTCTGCAAAGGCCACTCTCCACTAAAATCCTCTGACAGCTGGATTAGGCACAAGTGAAGATAGAATTCCAGAACTGGGAGACAGTCCAGACTAAATTAACCAAATTGTAGAAACAAAGAGAAGGAAAATATGAAAGAGAGATGAGAAACAGAAGATAAAGTAAAATGGCTTAACATCTATCTAATTGGATTTCCATAAGGAGAGACTAGAAAAAATTCAGGGAAAATAATATTTGAACAGACAATTTTCGAGAATTTCCTCAAATGGACAAAAGAGATGAGTCTACCTAGTCAAGAGTCACAGTCAATTCCAAACAGGACAAAAAAAAAAAAAAAAGGAAGAAAAGAAAAGAAACCTACACATAGATGCATACTAGTAAAAATGCAGAGCACCAAAGAAAACTATCATTGAAGAATGAGGATGAAATAAAGACATGTTCAAACAAAGAGAAATTTAAAGTGCTTAACAACAGCAGAAATTCAGCAAAGGAAATTACAGAGGTTATTATATTGGGAGATAAAAAAAAAAATCCTAGAAATAGCTTTGAAAAGTAAGTGGAAAAGCCAAGCTTAAAAAATAATGCAACATATATCAGGTAATCTATACAAGCATTGGTTGAATAAGTTAGTACCATATCTAATTTGTGGCTTTAAACAAATCAAAATAAAGCTGAAATACTAATTGACAACCTCTGAGAACAGAAATGAGATAAAGTACTTAAGATTTTCTCGTAAATGTGAACTTTGGTTTTCAGACCAACCCTCCTACTCAGACTATCTGGTAATTCACATAATAAAAGAATACCTAACAATAACAAAAATCTCTTTAAATTTATTGGAGGGTGTCTAAGGAAGGAAAGATTTGCAAGTCAATAATCCAGAACAAAATGAGACCTACAGAGGGAAATTCAGATAAAAAAGGCTTTTGAAGTCACTATCCACACAAAGTAATTATTCTGGGAGTGATGAACTAAAAGCTAAAAAACTGAACAAAGTTATTTTGCAGATATATCAAGTAAGAAGACAAAAATTGAAATTCAGAGCTAGACAAAGAAGAGGGACTCTGCTAAACACCAAGACATTTGTGGGGGTTCTAAAGTACTGAATTCGAAGGGTAAGAAGAACATGAAGTAGTCACTCATGGGGACTGAAGCCTGCTTCCAATCCTTTTAATATCATATTGGACTGAAATGATCAGGAACTATTATTACCCTTATCCCAGCTACTGACCAGAAGCGATAGTAAAATCCTCTGGAGAAATGGAGAAATACATCCAGATCCTCAAATTATATATACTAATTTTTGAGAAATCAGAAATAATCTGACATTCAAAAAGATTTTTTTAACTGAAAACCAAGAATAAAAAAGACTTTCAAGTATCTAGAAAGCATATTCATCACAGATGAATTTCTAAATCACATGAGAAAAGTTCTTGCAAAATAATCGAAGTCATTTAAATCTGATTTCTGCAAATTCCTCCCCAAAGCATACAAATTATAAAGGTAAACAAATAAAACCACCTATAAACCACTCTATCAAATAACTGACAACATTACAAACTTTAATTTCCTTGTAATTAAAGAAATAAATACCTAAGATAAACAGAAATATGGCACTCAGGGCAGAGAAAAGAGTCAGCCCAAATTGTGCAGAAAATAAATGAGGATAGTGCAAGCCATGAAGATGGTTTCACATCATCCTAGAAAGAGAAAATCTCAACCTAAGAGAGAAATGAAAGTCTGGGACCTGGTAGACAGAACACTGACAATAGAGAAATCAAAAGGAAAGGGCTTAAAATTGTATGGGAATGGGAGTAGATGTTGTGGGCTAGGCACAACTTCTGAGGGAGAGAAAAATGATGGAAAAGGGAGAAGATATCTTGAAACTTTGGTGGATAAAAAACAACTGGTGAAAATTAAGTGTTCTAAAGAAACAACAGGATTACAAAACCAGGAGACACACCAACCTCTTCCTTCAGAACAAAACAAACTAACAACAACAACAAAGAAAAACACCATTGATAAAAGATACTACAATTCAGTGAACCAAGTGAAGAGGTTGTTTTGAAATAATAACTCATTAAGCCATCAAAACCTCAATCACCTGCTAACATAGAATCACCTCTTACTAATTCTTAAGAAAGCTTTAAAAAAAAATTACAAATTACAAAAAAGAAGCAATATTTCTACAAAGCTAGTATAAACAGAAAATAAAAAAAACTGGAATAAAAACATTTTGGATGATGAAACATGCTCTTGTTGCCCATACCCCCTCATCCTCCTCACACACACACTCATACAAAGAGAAAAGAAAACAGAGGAACACTCTAAAACAACACTCCACTCAATTAAATTTCCTTAAACAAGCAATGTCAGATATGAAAATATATCACATCAGAGGTTTAATAATTCAAGAAAGAAACAAAAAGCAGAAAGATGGGAAAGTATTCACCAAACTCAGAAAAATAAATGAAAAACAAAGAGAAAAAAGCATAAATAAATTGAAGATTAAACCATGGTGTCTAAAGGAAAGTAGAATTGATTGGACATACTAAAATGGGCATTGTGGGGGTTAATAAAACTTATCCAGGAGAATGTGATAAATATGGATGATATGCAAAGAAGATCCAATAAATGTATAATTTGAATCCTTAAAACAAAATAAAACCACCACAAAGAAATATAAGTAATAATTAAAACAATAATGTGATCTTTCCAGAAACAAAAGAAAACCTGAACCTACTTATTTAAATGGTTCACAATATACCTAGAAAACTGGCCCAGAATGTCAACTCCAAGCATGAATACACAAAATAAGTGAACAATAACAATCAAAATGAAGGTAACTTCAAAAATAAAAGTGCTATACCCAACTATATGGTAATAAATATGAAAACCTACAGGAGATAGAGAATTTTAAAGAAAAATTCAGTTTACCAAAACTGAACATAGAAAAGATAGAAGTCTTTAAAAGATTAATTTCCTATAAATAGAAAAAGTTATAAAAATAATCTGTTAAGGCCCAGATGATTTCACAATGGAATTCTGCTAAGCTTTTAAATACCAGATAATGCCAGTGCTTTCTAAAGTGCTTCAAAACATAAGAAAGAATCAATTGTAGCATTTATAACTAACCTGATAAAGATATCATAAAAAATACATAATTACAGGCCAATTTCATTAGTGGATATCGCTAATCTTATATTCTATATTAACGATCAGAATCCAATAGCACTTTTTAAAATACTTCATTGTTAAGTAGGATTTACTCCATGAATGCAAGAGTGGTTCAATATTAGAAAATCTGTGGATATAATTTACAATATTAATAGATATGAAAAGAAAATTATATAATTATTTCCATAGATGCTGAAAAGATTTTTAACAAAATTCAGTGCACATTCCTGATTTAAAAATCACTCTCAATAAAATAAATTGCATACTTCCTTAACACCATAAAATATTTACTTTGTAGAAATAAGAAATATTGTGTATATTTCCTTAACACCATAAGATTTCTATTTTTCAGTATATATAGTAATATCTATTTTTTCTACACTTTAACTTAATAAACCTGTTGATATTCTCATAAAGGTTTTTATAAA